ATTATCTTATATTGTCGATAGAAGAGCGAGTAAGCGCTTCGGTTAGTAAATCGGGACAAAATGCGATCGGTGAGCAATACTTTGAAATGCCTCGCGTTTTAGGTGCTCTTTCGAAGCCAGGCTCCGAGAAAATTGCAGAGTTATATAAGCTCAAGACGTGCCGAGTTTATAGTACTTATTTTCCATCCCAGGCTGGAATTTAATCTGCAGTTTACATCCACTTCTTTTGTTAAAATCCTGAACAAATTTAGGCTGTGACCACGTGGTGCATGCCGAACATGGGAGGTCGTTGGTAGCACCCGTAGGTGCAGGCTCAGACACCAGCCCCTTGTAGCCTTCCTAACACTCAAAGGTCGTACGATACTGATCCCCATACCTAAAGGAAGTTCATGGGATCATAATGTGTGTCAGTTACGTCACCAAACTGCCCGACTTTTCATGAATTCATTAAGTCGCTTTCCTTGTTATTTGCATACAACTTGGTTTGACATGATAAGGAGTGCAAAAGAAACAGCTTTCGCAAAAATGACTTTACTTTTCTTCTTAAATTAATGCTTTACGCAGTTTCAAAAGGATAAATCCGACTCATACGTTTAAAAGATATATCATGCTTAGATTTCACCAAATATGAATGAAAAGCGATTGAACTTTCCCTACTTAAAACTTGCCGCTTGATTATACTGTTGTGTTGGATTAATAAGCGTTAACTATCCTTTTAACTTCGTTACTTAAAATGCTATGAACTTCGTAAGTTCTTCAGTTGTCAGCCATTTTTATCTTAAACTAAAAAACACCTACACGGACTAATTTATTCAGCCGATGGTTAACTGAGTACTTTGCATTTGGCTTTCGCCTGTAGACTAACTTAATTTTATGCGAAAGACAAACGTCCATTCAACCAAAGAGATCATGCAACATGGAGCACGCTTGGGTTTTTTATTCCTGCATTTTTTCTGCGTCGGTAGCAACACATACACACGGAAGTACAACCCCATGTTATTGTGACCAGAACAGAATTCTGCCTGCATATCAGCTGACCAACCGACCTGAACTTGTCTGCTGCGCAAACGTCTTTTTTTCCCGCTACACAACAGTGTCAGGTCAAAAATACGCGAGAGGGCTTAGATTTCGACAAAACTATAAACATACCTTCTCTTGAAAACTATTGAAAACTATGCGGTTGGGAAAATTATTTCACATATTATCATTATTGCAATAAACAAATAATCATTTTTATATATGAATATGCGATTCCTTTTATACGGATTACAAGACCTCTGTGGATAATTGTAAAAACTATTAAATGAAGTGCACTTCCTGTCTCTGGAAGTCCCTGCACAGGTCTTGTGGGCAGTCGTCGCCTGTGATGAACCAAATATTAGCGAAAAGAGTTTTTCCCTTT